CGAAGACTTCGGAGTGGCCTAGAATGGTAAAGGACGGCGGAGATTTGCTAACTAGAAGATTATGGTTCTTTTTTGGTAATGTGTAAAAACAGGTTTCATAAATCATCTGTAATTGGTTTATCTATACTATTAAAAGAGAAGCACTACTTTGAAATACCCAAAAGCTATCATGGTATTGACTAAATGTACTATTACATTTTGCTAGACAATCTCATTAATTCATTAATATCGTCTAATTACAAATACACAAAATGATGTGGGTTTATATTGGATTACATTGTAATGGGTTTAGTAGTTTTTAATGGACTCTATAGAGTCACAGATTTTTTAGTTTTAATCTTATAAAAAAATTAAGAAAAATTTATTCATAAAAAAATTGGATTTTAGAAATTATGTTACAAGATTTTATAAATAGAAAATATATTTAATATTCAGTACAAATGAAATTTTAGGAATCACATCATTTTATGGAAAAAAAAATATAATATTTTATTAAAATATGCAATCATAAATGTTTCACAATATCTTATATTCAAATAATAATTCTTTGCTGACATAAGATCCTGCAAAATCAATATCCTTTTAGTTGATCAGCATGTTGATATATTTTATGAAAAATAAAGTTAGCAATAATATATATAATTTTATGCAGGTTTGGTCATATGATTCTCTCTTGAATTTTGTTTTCTCTATGAACTTCTATAAATACAAAAAAAAATGCATGTGTTTTGTTCATGTCTTCTTATATCATGGCAAAACAAATTTTGTTTGTGATATTAATGTCGACCTTAAAGTAAATTATACATGAGTGTGGAAACAACTAAATAGTTTAGATAAACAATAGAATTAAGAAATATTAATGTGTTTTATTGTTAGTCAATGTATATTAGTTTGCTCATATTTATCATTAAAATCGAACTACATACCTTGAACTTTGATTTTTGTGAAACAAAAACTAGATTACCTAAGATAAATTGATGTTGAAGCAAGAATAATAGTCTTATTTATTATGGAAATCTTATATTGGTTATATAAAAATTTCTGATGTTATACATGATATTATACCAATTGAATCTAAGAAGATTATAATTGTAAAATCACATAATTTACTAATATAAATCTGCTTGGGTTTTTTATTTTTAACATATTGCTTCAGTTATTCCTTAAGAGAATTTACATAAATATTGATTGGGAACTAAAACAAAATTTACGGGTATTTACATGATCTAATCCATAAACAAATCGATATCCTCAATATGTCTTAATAGAAATACTCTTCATATAATATACGGAATCGTATTCCTTAGTTTTATGTATTATCATCTGTAATTGTATATCCTAAATGGCTTTCATGTTTTCTTCTTCTCAAATGGTTAACAATAAGACATCAGGTTCTATAGAAGCTTTTCAAATGAGAATTGTGAAGAATTACCGATTTCTGAGGCAAAAAATTGAAGCTAAAAATCGAAAGAAGATCTCAAACGCGAAATTTAGAATTTGAAAGTATCCAATTTGAGATAAAAAAAAAAATGATTATGTTTGCATGTGTTGCTATTTGATTTTCACGAATGTGCTAAAATGTTAGACACAAAATTTTGGTCTGGAATCAAAATAAAATATTGGTCCATAATATTACTAATAAGTTTTAAACAAAAATTTTAAATGGGTCAAAATATTTTTTAAAACAAAATCTATTACATACAAAATTTTGGCTAAAATTTTTTAAAAATTATTGTAAATTTATAAGGAGAAGAAATTAAAGTAATGTTAATAATAATTAATAAAATATGTTAAAAATGCATACATAATTTATTTTCTGTTAGGCCAATATATAGTTACTGAACACAACAACAAATTAATTAAAACATATGACCCAATTTTTCTCATTTCCACTGTGTAAATACATAATATGAAGTCCAAAAATATTTTTAAATTATCAAATCCGCGCTAGGCACGGATCCAAAATCTAGTTATATTTTATTTTGGATAAATAGTAGTATATTTTAGTGTAAAATTAATGAAATGGAATATTTTTAAATGATGGTTATATAATTCTGTATATGATCTTTTATCAGCAAAACATATCCCCCTACACATTATTTAAGAAGTACAATTAATAAACAAAAAACTAATTTTTAACACCAGAGTAAAAGTTAATGCATTTTAATGATGAAATGTAAAGTGACATGTCAAATTTCCTAAAATAAATAAAATATTTTGATTGGATAAGTTAAAAATAAATAAATTTTAAAATGAAAACATAAATACATTAGATTATATTAGATTATAACACTAAAATTAATAATCTTAAATTAACAAAAATGATAATTACTATGATTTCAATTATATATATATATATATCATAATAGATTGTGTAAAGTATGATTACAAAGTTTTACAACGAATATATATTATATTTTTATTCAGAAAAGAAAGAAAAATAATAATATAATATACAATGAGGTAGTAAATACCAATTTATGCTTATATATATATATTTATTAGTAAAATGCTATTATATTTTAGAAAATGTTTTTTATTAAATATTTTTGGAGTCAAGAATTGTTCTATACTTTTACAAAGACAGTTATTACATTAATTTATGGCTGTAGTTATTGTTTTCCAAATTAAAAAACATAAAAATTGTGTCTTCTTTAATTCATTCATATAGTAGATAAGTAACAAACTATTTAACTAGTAATATTTAATTATTATTTAAGAATAAAAAATAATTAAATATAAACACAAATATTATGTACTTAAACCGTGGATATTAGTAGAAATGCTGAATTATATCATTAATCGCGGGATATTGAATTTTTACCCAACTATATCATGTGGTATGCATAATATTTAATTTTTAAATTACTACCCAACTATATGGTGTTTTCGTATTTCTACCCAACTATATCATGTGGTATGCATAATATTTAGTTTTTAAATTAATTAACATATAAATTAAATTACCCAATATTCCATTAAAAAAACTACATTGTCAATGTTATAATATAATATTATATAAAACTCATAAATTTAATTATATTATATTATATGATTTTAAAGTTACAGTAAATTTAAATAAATAATAATTATTTCACTCTGTATAGGATAAGAGTTATTATCTAGTGTAATAGCATAATAGATTCATTACATTTAGATATTTGGATATAAATTTTGTTTTGCAAACAAAAATAACTACAAACAAAATTATAAATTTATCAAAATTTGAGAAGAGCGACTACCTTTCTGTACTAGTGTAGAGATTTTACATTGGACTAAGAAAACTTAAGCCCATTACTTTCAACATCTCAACATAACCTTGACCTTGTACCAGTTTCTTCTCTTTCTTCCACCTTCTCACCAAAAGTTGGAAGCAGTGCTTCAATGACATCATTGAAGCCAAGTGGCTAGGAAATGTAAACGTCCCATTTTGTGGTGACTCAACGAAAGAGAGATGTCATATCTTCTCATCTAAACTGCAAAAGAAAAAGGAAAAGGTGGCTGCTGTCATCTTCCCATCTTAATTAAGCTCTTATCCATGACATTTTTCGAAGAGAGACGGGATCGATAAGGGAAATGGTATATATGTGTAATGGATTGCTTATATATGTTTGATAAAATAAGTTTTTATAAAATAACGTTAGAGAAATTAAGGAATTCGTGGATCAAATGTATACAAATATATTTTATATAATTCCTGGTCCACCTCGAACATTATCATCAAAATAAATATAGTAAGTTATATGTTCTTTTTCTAAACAAGATATATAAATATATGATTTTGCTATAAGGTTTAGGGAAAAGGTTATTTTACGAAAAAGTTCAATAAAAAAAGATCATCTTTATGGATGTATAATTTATTTTGTTTTTTTATAAATTAAAAATAGAGAATATTAAGTTTTTTTAATGGTATGTACTTGTTCAGTAAACCGACGAGTATTTCTTTTATTTATTTATAGTGAAAGTGCAAATTAGAAAGAAAAAAAGCATGATTTGTTTTCGATGAGATTTTGTCACCACTTCAAATAAAATTAAATGAAAAAGAAAGTGAAAATTAAACTACAAGAAGAAGACAAAAAAAAAAGGAAAAACAATAGTGAGAGAAAAGGAAAGCAGTTTGAGAAACAAAAAAAAATCATTCGCCGACTAAAACCACTACTATTTAACAGCCCTATCTCGTTCCCTATCTATATCTGATCTGATCTCGTCTTTTTATGTTGGATTGTGGAGAAGTCATGATTCAAATTGGTGCTATGGTTTGGGGCAATTGTATGTTTCTAGCAAGAGAGCGTGATGGAAACGTGATCACTATAGGATCAGGCGTTCCTCCTCCGTTCCCAAACCCTCCCATCCGTCTGAACAACATCGTTAGCTTTGATCCACGCTACATGTATCCTCTTCTCTACTCAAGCCTCCAAGATCCCATCTTATGCGATCGCCTCTCCGTCGAGATTGCTTCCGAAGCCGAGCGAGTTCCAGGGCCATTATACATCTCCCTTCACGTCACGTTAACCCCACACAGGTTCTTAAGTGCTGAGACTGGGATGGAACCAAACGAGGAGACATGCCCCATTTGTTTGGAGGAGCTACATACGAGAAAAAAAGTCTGTATACACGTGCCTTGTTGTGGTCATGGGTTCCATCATGATTGTATCACGCAGTGGTTAAGTAAGAATGACACTTGCCCAATGTGCCGCTCTGTTTTTGAAGACAGCGATGATGAAGACTATGCCTGATGAAGATTTATTTAGGGTATTTTTAGGGTAAAACAGATGGATTCGTCCACACGTTTGTTTTGTTGCCCAGCTTGTAATTTTCTAGTTTTTCAATCAATTCTGAGACGCTTATCTCTTTTCTTCTTCTTTAGTATATAATATATATATATATATATAAATATATTGAAATTTAGTTTTCCCATATCAGATTTCTTGATTCTTCCGTTTAATTAAGTTTAGTCATCCACTCCTTCGTTGTGATTAATTTTGATTACTCGGTTTTGCTGGATTATATTTGCTCTTTTTCTAACTGATTTCCTTCACAATGAGGTTAACAGTACAAAGGGATTAGACATTCCCATTAAATGAAAAAGCAAATAAGTAAAATCGAATGATGAAAGGGTCTCTTGAGTCAAAAATGTAAAGTTGATGGAACAAACAAGTAGAACAGATCGTAGAGAGTTAACAGAGTAAAATACCACAAAATGTGTGACGCCATTTTGATTCCGCGGTTACATATGTTGAAGATGGTAGACGATGCGGGGAAGCAGAGAGCTGTTAAGTTGGAGAAGCTAAGGTGAGTTTTAAGATGAATCCGATGATGAGTCCGATGAGCCCAACCATAGCTGCCAACTTTAAGGATAACCCACTCGCGCTGCTCATCTGGTTTCTTCTTCTCTTCACCACCTCCTGTGATGTCATCATTTAAAAATATGTTTGTCGATATCCTTTTGTTACTAACCACTGTTTAAGTTCATATGATTTTGGCTAAATGGCATGTGATTAAATCTATGCTATGCTATCATATATCAAGGACAAGTTAATGAGGGCGTACCAATTCATGTTGCAGCTGTTGTGTTTGCTTAACGGCTGCATCTCGCTCTTCCTTCAGCCGTTGTATAGTCTGATCATGCATATTGATTGTAGAAACGTTAGAGGAAGAATTAAAACAAGGCAAGAACTAGTCTCTCTTAAGGTATATGATGTGGTCACTTATGACATTCTGTGAGGTACATTGTTCACCTTATGAAGACAGGTATAATAACAGAGACAACAAAATAAACTACAGCTTTTGTAACTCGGCGTGTGTTTTATAGTGTCCCAACCAATCAACTCAGTCTCACATTACAATTTCTATTGCCTGAAACCCACAAGTGTGAATACTAGATAGTCTGGGATTTGAATGAAACTAGTTTGTATAGTTATCACAAAATAAAGGAGACTGTCTATAAGGTGCCTATCTATGCGAGAGGTTCACAGTATATATATTGGTATCACAGAGAGAATCGTCCTACTCTAAGGCTTTTGCTATGATCATAATTGGTTACCACACAAGACCAAACAATGCGGTTAAGATCAATTGCAGGAAGTCATTACCACATTCAGATTAAATAATATCAGGATGCAGTACTCACAGAGATGGTTTCAGAGCCATTTCCGTCGCCATTGGTTGCTCCAGATTCAGAGGATCTTTGAGTTGTAGACGGTGTGATATACGAGACCTTGAGCTTACACTCTGTTAATGTTTTCCCGCTGTCCTTGGTAAACTATACACAGGCATCGCAAATTTCATGTCAATATACTTTTCCACAAAAATGCGAAATAAAATCATGTTTTATCGGGAGACTTACTGTGTCCTGTGGAAGTTCATCCACATCAGTGTGTGGAGGTACAATGGTACTCTGAAGGAGAAACTTGTCTTTGCACTGCATATCTGGAGGATACTCCCGTTGCGCTTGTAGAGTAACTAGAATTTAGAAGATCTTAATTATTTCTATGTTTTAAAGTTTCAAACTACCAAATGACTGAAAGAGTTATAAAGAATCACTGTCACCTCTAATGATGCAGGAGTCCCATGGCTGTATGACACCAGTGTTGGGTCTTACAAAATACTTCTTTGGAGATGTTGTTTTCACCTGATTTGTTGAAGGAAGATAACACAAGAGAAGAAGTCAATTTTGGGGGGAAGATAGTATCATCACAAAGAAAGCACACGAAGCTGGGTGGTTTGATGTAGAATTACCTTGAAAGCAACATAATGCTCTGTTTTATTGGCAACTTTAAGATCACAATAGCTTTGCTTCTCGAGTTCAACTGATTCAATAACAATCAATAATCTTCTCATGAGCATCTAATAGAAAGTATCCATTTCATAGAACAGGCAAAGTAAACACAAAACAACAATTATTCTTTATCGCCTAGAGAATCAACCCCCAACATGTATTCCTCATTTGCACAGTAAACATTTTCTAAGCTAAGCACCATAACCTCAACGAGCTTGAGAAAACATCGATATTTGGTGTAACAAAATGAAATCAAATGATTCACGATTTGCAAAATCTCAGGAGAGAATAATATGGCTAGTTCAAGAGTGTCCTTTGTCATCTAAGAACAGCTTAGACGATATGTAACCAAAGAGATGAGCATGCATGCACGATCTTCCAAATATATAACGAGAGAGTGGAAATCCTTACAAAGAAATTTGAGCTCATCAGGTTGAATGGAGATAAGCTGGTTCTCGCCAACGCCAGACATTGCTTAGCTAACCACAAAAAAAAATCGATTATCAATCTCTAGAACACGAAACCTATACACATCGAAATCGAAACCCCTAACTCAAAACAATTCCGATTCTAATTTTTTTTTTCCCGAAAAAAAGGTCCCAGAAAGCTACAAAGGGGAAAGAAAAATAGAATCAGTAGAAATTAGGAGCGAAAAAGACGGATCAAACCTGAAACAAAAGTCACGGTCTAACGATAAGCAAGGAACGCGATGAAGCTGCTTATTTCTTTCTCTTTCCCCTCCCGGAAATCGCTCTCCACCAAAGACCAAATTTCACCTCTTCTCGTTCGATTGGTGGTGACGAAGGCAAAGGAACTTCTCTACAGAGAGAGAGAGAAACGGGAAGAAAACCAAAACGCTTCGTGGAGCGGCCACGTGAAGTCGAAGCAAAGTTCCGTGAGATTTCCGCCGGCGTCGTCTCCGGGAAGTGCGGGGAAGGAAAGAGGGAGGGAGAAGGGAAGGAAAATGTGACACGTGTGAAAACAGTTGTGCATTGGAGGAGAAGAAAAAGGTAAAAGCGACAGGCTGGAAATAGAGACCAATAACGTGGCAGGTGTTGATTGGTTAAATTAATTTATATAGGGGCTACATGCTATAATGAGCTTTCAGGTGGTAGGCCATTTTCATCCCTCACGATGAAAATTTTATTATATTTTCCGTGGTCATTAATCATTAATGTTGGGTAGTAATTAAAAATATCGGACGTAAACGATTTATTAAATCGAGATAATAAAATCATGGTGGCTAAGAAAACATAAACGGTAGCTATAGTCTTCTTAAGAGAGGAAAGAGACAAGAAATTATCAATGATTTACCAGGATATTCGTTTGTCTGCTTTAGATGGAAAGTCATTGATTCAATAAGACCAAAGTAGAATCTCAAAGTTTGAATGGTTACGCTTGAAATTTGAATTATAACAGTCACTGTGATCATTGATATTCAATGTGAACCAGAAATTAGTAGTAACATATCAATCAAAATGTTACTATTAGTTTAAATTTCTCAATATGATTCAAACGGTTTTAAAGAGAGAAATATTTGCCAACTAGCATTTTAAAAAACTCAAATTTACAAATTGGCAACTAACAATGTCCGAGAAAATGATTGTTTTTTCTTTTGCATTTTGACTTACGTTCACGTTCGGAGTACAAAGATAATGCTGCCAATGTACAATAAAGGAGTCAAAACATCAAGAGGGGTGGTTTCACATAACATTTTGATTTACTTTTATAAAATTACTGTCACTGTAAATTACAAGAAAAGAAATGTAATCCAAAAGACAAACAAACAATTATTACATGAAGAAAGAGACAGAGAGAGTATGTAAAAGGAGAGATTAGCTACCTTTGGAGGTTGAACAAAACACATGACTGTGTTGGGTTTTGTATTCATTTAAAAGTAGAGAGACGAGGAAGTTTGTCCCTCAGATAGTAAAGTCTTGCTCTTCTCACTTTCCTGTGATTAACCACTTTGATCTCTTTAATGTTAGGAGAGTATCTGTTCAAATCAAAAAACAACATCAGCAACATATTTCTAAAGTCACTTTCATTGTAGATTCAGCCAATGTAACTACAAAGTTAACGCCTAGAGTGAGGCATATATCAAAGCTAAGCCTTAGCTTAGTGACCTAATAGCTAAAACTTCCAGCATAAATGTCACAGTTCTAATAGTTTCACACTTGGACTAGGCAAATATAAATCCCTTTTACATGAACAAAGCTGATGCATACATGGTAAAGATTCAGAATCGACAATTCGACACTTTTTTTTATTTCTCATGAAAAAAATAACCGTATGACCATATTCGACTATCAAGAGCCACGAAACTGTATATGGTTTGCTTTGGAATCCCTAATCGCTCCGAAACAAACCAAATTTCAAAGACCCTTAACTCTGATTTACTTCTATATATCGTAATCACATTTATGCTTATCTCAATGTACCAGAGCAAGTGTGAGAATTAGAGAGGGGTAAGGAAGAAGATACTTACATAGGAAAGACGATTTCAACGCCAATGCCTGCAATGATTCTCCGGATGCGAATAGTAGTGTGGATGCCTGCATTTTGTCTAGACATCACTATACCTTTGTATATGGACAGCCTACGTCTGTTCTCAGGAACTTCCTGTAAAAACAAACACATCACGTCAGATCAAAATCTTGCAGCTTGATGCAAAATGGCTTCGGATTATACAAAGAAGAAGGATTTACCAGTTTGATTTCAACAATGTCCCCTGTTCTAATTTCTGGAACCGGTCTTACTTTCTCTGAAACCTCGATTGCTTTCTGGTTCAGTATCTACATAAACAAAAGTAAATCAACACTTCATCTTTCTGGTGATTAGAGTGCAAGAGCAAAGAACCATAACAAACAACTCTTTACTGCAATATCAGCAATGCAACATGAGATGAACGAACTACACACTTCACTATTACAAATACGCATTTGATATATTACTAATTGCTACTGATTAAAAGACCTTCAAATTTTCCAGTTTCACCATGAAACAAAAACCCTAAATATTCTTAACAGAATCGCATTTGAAAATTAACTTACTCCCATGACATCTCCGAGCTTGATCCTCGGCTTCCACTGAGGCTTAGCTTCCACCGCCTCAGTGGCTTCTACTTCCTCTTCGGTTTCAGCAACATTCTCCACAACTGCCTCAGTTTCGCCTTCAGTGCTCTCTTCGGCTTTAACGATAAACTCCCTTTTCTTCCTGGAATCGATCGCGAAGCCAAAATTCGAGCTCGAATGATTCATAAATACCCTATTAACAGATATCCGAGAGTTCACTGATGAGGCTCGAGGTAGAAATGCAGAAACCCCTAAATTCTTCGACGAGAAAGAAGGGATTCTCGGTATCATATGCAATGCCTGGCTCCAGAAACAGGAAAATTCTCATAGATAAATACAACATTCCAAGCATGAAGTGTGCTTGTGTATGAGATAAAGAGAGAAGAGAGAAACCTGAGGAAGAAGATGAGAGCTCGTCGCCATGTTTGCACTTGCAGAGTAAAGAGCCTTATCGGCTTCAGCGTTTTAGACCTCCGTAGCAAACTGTAATCCCCTTATCCGCCCGAGCAATTCAATTTATGGGTCTTTTGCTAACTTTTTTGGGCCTACACAATTGGGCTAAAATGTAAAATATTGGAAGCTGATTCCACAACCAATGCCTGCTCTAATGTTTTCTTTGACTCCCAATTTCCAAAACTATGATCCAAAGTAAGAGTTTGTGTTACAATAAAATTATGATTATGGTCAATGGTCTTTTTAACTAGTACAAGGCATGGCCCAAAATCACCTACTTTTGGCGTTTTGGAATTATATAATTGGTCTCTAAAATGTTTTATGGATCAGATATAATTATATAAAGTGATAAAAGTTTTTAGTGGATATAAAAGGGTATCGAAATAGTTTTCGAAAGAAAAAAAAACAAGTAAACGATAACATTAGGCAGTGCCGTCCCTAATAATTAAGAGGCTTCAAACAAATTAAAAATTTGTGGCCTTATATTTCTACTATATATCTAATTTTATTGATAAATTTTTGTTTATATTTCAAATACACTATAATGTTATTTCATCATATATTTTTAATATATAGAAAAAAAATCAACTCAATTATCCAAGTATTTCAAATTATATATAGAAAAAATATTATACTAGTATGGTTTTTCATAACAATAAAAAATACTAAAAAAATTTAATTTTACATTATGTAAAACATTATGAAAAATATAAAATGGTAAAATGAAAAAGTTTAGATAACTTATATATTTAATATTTAAAAATGTTAAATTATTAAAAAATATTTGTTAATGATTAAATGGTAAAAATAAGACTAAAAACTGAAAAAACAACTAAAATAGATATAATTATAAAATAAATAAAAACAAAAATATACAAAATATTATACAGATCATGATACTAATTAAATTACTAATCGAATCGTGTAAAGTAACAATAGAAGTGAAATTAGTACACTATACTTTATTATCTCATTCTTAAGTGTGGCCTCTAATTTATCAGACAAATTTGTGGTTTGCAGCACATGCTTCATGTGCCTTAAGACAGGAACGGGTCTGACATTAGGATATGATTTCGGTATCATAGTTGTTACCCTTTCATGATTGGTATTTGGTAACTATTGAAACAAGTACAGTACCACTATCTATATAATAGCTATCACAGTTTACATGATTGACTAAGTACTAAATAATTCATTACATATTTACAATTGCATACATGCGGTGAAGTTTATCAATTAAACTCATTATCATATGCTTGCATAATCTGTTTTGAGCCTTCCCTATAAAATTGTTGCCTCGATTGGTAACACGATAAAACTGCAGAATGGTAGACAAAATTAAGTTGCGGAATAGCAGAATACAGAACAGTGAAATAATTAATTTTGATATGATTGGATAAATTATGCAGAATGGCGGAATAGTGGAATGACATAAAATATATAAAATTAATTTATCATAATAATATATTTTATACATAATTTAATGTAATAAAAATTAAAATATTAATTATTATAAAAAAATTAAAATATAATTAGAAAAAATTAAAAATTTTATTGTAATTATTTATTTTTATTTTTATTTTTTTATTTACTATAAAATATATAATTATATTGTAATATTTAATCTACAGATATAATCTGATCATTATATAAATATATGTAGTATAAATATATTTATTTAAATAATGAAATATAATTAGTTATATAATTGAATGATATAAAATATTAATTCCTCAAATAAGCTATTTGAAACACATTTTTCCACTTAATCAAAATTTTTTTGTATTTTTTGTAAGTATTTTCATCATTTCGCAGAACTCGAATTTTGGCATTTTTCTGCAAATTTTTTTAAATGACAAAATTCTTGCAGAATTGCATTTTTCCACTATTCCACCAAATTTACCAATCACAGTCACAGTGTTGTTTTTTTGTCATAGAACATACATAACATGGAGCAATACTAATTTTGTTTTGATTCTTTTTTAAAACTCATTTTCACAACGAAACGAAAGTAATAGTTTTAAATTGACATTATAATCTGATGTTGTTTATTCAAGTCGTCTACATGTTCACGTTATCATTGACTTACACCACAAGCGATGAAAAGCTAAATATTTAATTTATCAGAAACCCAAAAATAAGCAAATGTTTGCTGTAATTTTCGTAAAACGAATATATCTTTCTTAAAAGTTATTTTTCTTGAAAAGAGCTTTATAATAAATATGTTAAAAGTGAAATTAATCAGATTCAAAACTTTATCCTCCTAAATTTAGTTGTTCTCCGAGTGTATAGAATCAAAAAGAAAAAAGTGACATAGAGAAGAAAAGATTGATTGATTGATTCTTTGTCCTCCACGCATCTCTGGGTTGGCTTTGCCACGTCAGCATTCAAACATCAAACCAAACGCATTTAAATTTCCGAAAGTGTGGGTCCCTCTTTTTTATTTATTTCTTAACCGCGTCATTGACAAAAGAGCACTTAAAGCCCGAGGGAAAATAAGAAAATAAATAACAAAAACATTCACCGTTTTAGGTCTCTCTCTTCTCTCTCGTTTTTGCTCCGACGACGATCGCTGCAACTATTATCGCCGGAATTTCCGTTTATCGCCAGATTATCGTTGATACGTTGGTAGATCGATCTAGATAAGAAAGCAGCCATGAATCCTGAATAGTAAGAGTCTTCTCTTCTCATGATTTGATAATATATATCCTTCTTATCGATTTACCGCTTTTTCTATTCGAATTTTGTTTTTGATGTGCTCGACGATGTAGTTTTTATTTGGATCTTTGTTGGTTGGTTTGTTGCTGAATTGAATCTACCCAATTTTCCTCGTTTTTTTGTCTGATCGATTCTCGATTTGGATCACTGCATAGGCTAGATCTAGGTGAATTTGACTGAGATCTGCAATTTCTTTGGATTACCTGTTAATTCTCGTAGTTGTAATTCGCGGGTGTGACATAATTACCTTTTGATGACATTCTCATAGAGGTAGCTTGGTTTTGATTTATGCGAACAAATTCATCAATATATGTTTCAGATAAGTTATTTCTCAATTCCGGATTCGGGATGCAGCGTGACAAAAGACACCCTTATGAGCTTAAGAGCTTCACTTAGATTTTCCGTTCTGGTTTAATCCGTTCTATTCTCTCTTTTTGCAGTGACTATCTGTTCAAGCTTTTGCTTATCGGTGATTCTGGTGTGGGAAAATCGTGCTTGCTTCTAAGATTTGCTGTAAGTAATTGCACAAATTTAGCTTCTTTCTAAGCTAAGAATTGTTTAGATGTATCATCTTTAGTAATTGCCTTGTAACTCTGAACACAAATACTAGTCCTTGAAGATGACATCCTGTTGTTTATATACTTGTTGCTCAAAAACTCATTAGTCAATTCAGTTTCCGCTTAGTTCTCAGTTCACTCTTTTTGTGCTTATGGTTTGATATATGGAATTTGTGTGTACAGGATGATTCTTACCTGGATAGCTACATCAGTACCATTGGTGTTGACTTTGTAAGCATAACTCTTCACAATCGGCTGTTAATATGTAGAAGAAGAAAAAACGAATCAAAATGTATTGATCTTTACTAATGATGTGATGCAGAAAATCCGCACAGTCGAACAGGACGGAAAGACAATCAAGCTCCAGATCGTAAGTGTTCTTGAGCTGAATATGAGACTTAAATCATTTAAAATTTGGAAAGAGCATATAGTAACTCTTGAACATCTTTGTGTATACAGTGGGACACAGCAGGGCAAGAACGTTTCAGGACCATCACTAGCAGCTACTACAGAGGAGCTCATGGAATCATTGTACGTACTCACTCTCACCAAGCATTCATCTTCTTGTTAATACATCCATCCTTTGGTTCTTCCTCATAATTTGCATTTTTTCTTGGCAGGTCACTTATGATGTCACGGACCAAGAGAGCTTCAACAACGTCAAACAATGGCTGAACGAAATCGACCGTTACGCTAGTGAGAATGTGAACAAGCTGCTGGTTGGGAACAAAAACGATCTCACATCACAGAAAGTTGTATCCACTGAGACAGCTAAGGTAATAAACAAACCGAGTGGTCTCTTTTGCGTAGACACTGTAGAGAAAGGATAATAACATTGTTTTCTCCTCTTCCTCCTAACAGGCTTTTGCAGATGAACTTGGGATACCATTCTTGGAAACAAGTGCTAAAAACGCAACCAATGTTGAAGAAGCTTTCATGGCTATGACTGCTGCAATTAAGACCAGGTTTGAACTAGATCCGACTTTTGTGCTCCTTTAAAAACATTTTACTTCCATATTTAACCGTATTTTGGTTTGCAGAATGGCTAGCCAACCAGCTGGAGGTGCCAAGCCACCGACGGTCCAGATTCGCGGACAGCCAGTGAACCAGCAATCAGGCTGTTGCTCCTCTTGATTCCCTTAGTCGTCTCTCAGTTCTCTTTGGATCATCACACCATTTATAATCATCATTTGTTTGCATTTGCATGTAAGACTTCTCCAATTGGTAGCAACCTCTTTGGATCCTTCCTTCTCTTTCGTTTTATAGCTTTGCAATTCTTTTTCTGGTGTATTTTCGAAGTTTGAAAACCCACAAATTTTATAGTAAAAGGACCTTTATGCTAATAAAGCAAAGGCGAATTTCCTATTTTCTCTTTTTCTAAATTCTCAGTTATTAACTTCTACATGAAGTTTGCAAATACGAAACAAATATCGGCGGTCCTCTTCAGAAGATTATGATACGGATTAAAAAAGTGAGTTAAGATAAATTAAAAATAAAATAAAATTTATGAGAGAATTGATGTGAATATTTTTTTTCCATAAATTAAAAGCCCGGAAACTGGTTTTGTCGTGAAAGTGTAACAAAAAAAAATTAAGAGCAAAATTCAACCAACGAGAGAGGAGAGAGAGATAGAGAGGCTGAAGGACCAAAAGGGTCTTTACTTGCCCAACGATGGGAACTGAGCACTGTCTCCAATCACCGGAGCAGCACCTCCTCCCAACCTTTGGTTTCCTCCGACGTTTCCTCCGCCGTTTCTCTGTCCACGACCACCGCGACCTCCTCTTCCACGGTATCCACCTCTTGGGTTGTAGCTCTCTCCTTCAGCCGGCTTCAAAAACTCGTTAATGCTCACCGACTACAAAATCACACACAAAACAAAGTTTATTAGATTCAGTACTGAAATGTTAAAACCCAAAAGATTTGTATTTTGGATGATGAAGAGGCAAGACCTTCTTAGCCTTCTCTTCTTTCTCAGAAGCATCTTTGCGTTTGTCCTTGTCTGATCCCTGAAACAATTAAAAACCAAGGATCAGCTCTTGCTCTATTATTGTCAAGGTAACTAACAAATTTCACACAAGCAATAGAGATAAAGAGTTTCAGATTCTCACCAGCTTGATGAAGATTTCATCATTGTTACTCTTCTTGCTAGAGAGCTGCTGCATGGACTCAAACACCTTAGTGTCAACTTTCCTTTCCTCAACCTTAGTGGCTTGCAGAGCTTTCTTCTTCTCCTCCAGAATTTTCTCATACTCTTCCAGAGTCATCTCCTACAATAAACCCATTTCCATAACAGAAATTTCGAACCTCGAAGGCTAAAACTTGGAAGTTTTCTCATCTCATAACATTAAAAGGCTCACGAGTAAACGAACATGTACATACCTTGTCTTCAGGCTCTTTCTCCTCTTGCTCATCTGCAGGAGCCTTAGCATCAGTGGTCTCATCCTCACCGCCTTGCTTCTCAGCAACAGGGCTCTTCTCAATCTCTGTTGTGGCCTCCTCAGTTGCTCTAATATCAGACAAACAAAGAGTTTCTTATTCAGTCTACATGTACAAACAAATTGCAATACAATGGCAGGAAGATCAAACTGAAAGAGCCAGAATTACTTACGGTGGAATATCATCTTCAGTAGTTCCCCAGTTTCCACGACCACCACCATCACGTTTTAGGTCATTACTAACAAACAACAAGTTACAAAAACATAAAATCAAATAACAGTAGGAATCAAAAAGATCAGTAACAAAAATCTGTAAGGACTGTAAAAGAAAGCTTACCCGCGACCAGTGCCGCTACGGCGCTCGTAGTGCCTCTTTGGGCGTTCCACGTCACCTGATTCACCATTGGCAAATCCACCACGGCGGCCTCCTCCGCGACCACCATCACCACGGTATCCACCAACAGGCGCAGCACGCCTTGCTCCGTCACCTTGTTCCGAAGGTCTTGCAATGGAATATCCGTTTTCATTCCTAGGAGCATCATTGTTCCGGGACTCCCGGTTAAATCCAGCACCCCTACCACGAGGAGGTCCACGTCCAGCACCACCACGACCTCCTGAAGGAGCATTCTTGGACTCCCTCGCTACATATATAAACAGAGATTTGAGTCAACTTTCATTCAATAGCATTTCAACACATCGATGCAGATGCAAACATACTTATATACGCTTCAAAACAAATATAAACAATATCACTGAGACTTTACGCAATAAAGAGAAACTATGAAAAGGCTACTTTCTAGAACTCATATTCTGAATAACACAATAAATTTCTCAGGCTAAGCTACCTTCTTATACAAAACATAACCAAGTAAAGCAGATGATGGAAAATGAGACTAGCAAAAGCTAAAACCCTCAAATGACAAATCGCTGTGTCTTTCATGACAAACCATCAACAAGCTTCGCTTGAATGAATCAATCGAATACAAACCAACACGGATGACATTAAATCAGTTGAAGGAACATTTACCGGCTTGAGTAGGAGGCACCGGCTTGGTTGGCATCTTACCGGCCTTAGCAGGCAGGACAGGAGCTGCTTTCTCGACCTTCTTCGGCAAAGCCACGGCGAGCTGGCTCGGATCCTCGGCGTCATCTCCCAAGAGGTCGAAAGGGTTCAAAGTCGCCATTTCCGGTCTTGTTTAAATCGAATCGAATACGAGAAACTGCTTGCTTGATGGGGTTTTTCGAGAGGGAAAAAACCTTATTGACTACACGAGTCCATGAAGAAATCTGAATCAGAAATGGAAGAGGATGGTTCGGACAAGACTTGTTTTGGATGCCTCAGAAATCGAAGGAGGAGTGTGAAGAAGCTCGAGGAGTGGAAAACCCTAGCAAGATGCGGCAGTGAGGTATAAAGATTATGCGACTTTCGATGCTTTAAAACCTAATCCTTAACTGTTGAGGGGGATGTTAAAGCGGGTCCATTCGATTTAGATCCGGCCCATTATAAGGGTTATCATGAAGGCCCGTTTAAGCTTTAGACCCGTCTTTAATCATTTAAAGAAAACTGGTGAAAATACAGTATGCAATAGCAATAGCAATGCTTCTTAATAATCGATGAAACCAATGATGACGAAAGACACCATCACCAAACTTGTTAGTCTTTATGTTATTGCTCTTAGAAATATACGAAAACCAGAAAAAGGTTTTAAAAAACCTCCTTGTTCATCCCGAATTCCTCTAAATATAACAAGAACTCAACTCTTTCAATGTAAACAACACTTCCACCATTTCAACAAAAATCTGTTGCGAATGCCATAATCATCTTCTGATTTACGATTATTAAGTTCTATCTATGTGTTTTTAAAAATCTAATACATCAATTGTATGAATCCTTTCATTATCCTTGATTTTTTTTTTAATGAGGAATCGATCTTGAAAGATTCTATAAGTCCATTGCAAAACATGATTTCTTATAAAACTCTCTCATCTCATCTTTTCCACTAATAGTATATGTTTTTTTTTTTAAATAGCAAAGGCATGAGTACTACTATTGTTTTCAGGAAGACATGTATCTTAAAAATTTGTGTTGAAATTATTTTTGAAAAAACTCATACACTTTATTTTTATTTTACATTTAGGATGGAAAATTTAGCTCATGGTTTAACTTTAACGGTCTTTGGTGTTATCATATTTTTGCCGTCAATATTAATACTAATAATGATCTTGGTTTTTTAATTTTGTACAGAAACTGAAATCATATAAGCTAGTTGTAATTTGGTAAAAGAGACCCAACAAAAAAAAAACAAATGAAATTCATATTAGTTCAATAATAGTAATAATTTACATAAGGAGCACTTTACTTTCTGCCTCAACATTTAACAGCAAAATTTTTAGCTACAAACACATTCGACTATTCAAACCTATGAAACAAATAAATGACCGACACGTGTCCCTCATATAACCTCGCACTTCACCTGCAACTCCGACGGCAGGTTCTCTGTCTTCCTCCGCCGTTTCGGCTTTCCGGTTTCAGACGAAGATGTTGTATAAGATCTCTTTGACGTGATTCGAACCGGATCTGGTTCACCGGAATTAACTCTCAACGGAAAATTCAACAAAGCGCGGGAACCACGCATCCTAAAAGCAGCTCTATCGTAAGCCAAAGCTGCATCTTCCGCTGTCTCGAACGTCCCTAACCAAACCCTCGCTCCGTTCTTCGCCGGATCACGAATCTCCGCCGCGAATTTCCCCCACGGCCTCTGTCTCACTCCCCTGAAATGCTTCCCCTTCGCCGGCGGCGCCACAGCCACGGCCAACTTCGGCTTTTCCGCTGCCGCTGCGGAATTCTCCGACGGTTCGGTTTTCACCGCCGGAAAATCGTTGTGAGACGGATTGGTCTGACGCTTCGGCGACGGTTCTAAATCGAGAAAATCGCTGAGACAGCTCAAGTCCGATGACGGCGATGACGTGTCACAGGTTCCGTTGAAGCCGTCGTTGAGGATTCCGTAAACTAACATATCCTCGGAATCATTCTCTTTCAACGGCAAATCTCCCCAACTCTCGGTGAAACACGAACTCGGTAACGACTCACTGAGTCGAAACTCGCTCTCTCCTCCTAGCAAGTGGCGTCGGATAGACTCCAACAAAGCGTAATCGGATTCCGCTGCCGCCATTATCTCGCTCTGGCCGTACATTATTACCACAGAGATAATGATTTTCTTTTCTTTTCTTTAGTTTCTCTTTTTTCGATTGAATTGTCAAATATCTATTTTTCTATGTGGAAAGACGGTGAAGAGGTTTATATAGTGGCAAAAAGAAGAGACGAGGTTCATGAACCTGGAAAATTAAAATAAGTCTTTTTCTTGTTTATCAATTTTATGATATAGTGGGAAACTAAAAAGCTGATTAAAAAATATGAAAGTTGTGGATTTTTCATTACTACGAAGGTTCGTGAATTAAAACACGTGCGCTTTATCCACACGATGAAGCTTAAGGGTCAAGATGACGTCATGATATTTACGGAAGCAAGATGCTGATTGGTCTTTGTCTCTCGCAACTTGTCCTTTGTTTTGTCGCTCGGTTTTGAATTTGAGAATTCCGGTTTTGTTAAGCAACTTGAGTTTAGTTTATCATTAGAACCAACCAAGAAGACTCTTAATTTATTATTCCTTGCTATATTAACATAAAATTTCTACCAAAACTAGATTTCAATTGAAAGAAATGAACTTCATTGAAGTATTTTGTTCGCTGTGGCCTATGAGATAAAAAAATATCAAATATGTAGAACTAAATAATGTTAAATTGCAAATGTGTGTGGCTGCAAAAATATATATATTTAATTACCTGAAATCTAGCTTAGATTTTCTTATGGTGGTGAAACAAAAATCTAACAAGGTGGGCCATAATTGTTTGAATGGGACACTTTTAAAATGTCTGCACAAATCGGGATACATTTATCCTGGACACACAAAAATAATATAATCTCACTTTTTTTTCCCTATTCCCTTTTGTTCTTACTAATTTTCCTCATTTCTAACTTTCATGTTTATTTTAAAACTCTTTATAAAGGATTCATGTTTATTAAAAGAATAATAATAAATGACTATTTAATGCTAATCTAGTCAATAAAATATGCGTACTCAAATCCTGATGATAAGGTTTTTATGCAAAACTCAACTCTGAAAATATAGTATGTTCATCTATGTTAAATTTGTTTCATTTTTTTTTTGTTCGAATAGCCTTATATACATTTCTCCGCCAATAGCTTGGAGTTTTGTGGATAATTATTAAATTTTCGTCCTTTTCCATTTATTGGCTTTTAAAGTCGATAACAATAAGCCTTAAAAACAAAATTCGTGGTGGGTCTCTCGACTCACGTTCACGTATGTCCACTTGCAAAAAGAGACCTCTTTCACGGAAGCATAGTTAGTCAATAGTCACTCAAACTCAGTGTTGTACTATTTCCTATTTCCAATTTCCAATAGATCCTAATAGTAGTTTTTGGCTCAGCATCACACCACTCTGATTTGTTGGTATATGTTAATTATGCTGAATTTGAGTATGAACATATGTATGTTTTTGTTTACATCATTGAATATACCAAACGGCATCAACATTTAATTAATATGGTTTAAAAGTATTTGCAAACAAAAACAACGAGTTTCTTATACGGATTTTATGTGCAAAGAAATTCGATTTAGCGTTTACTAGTATGTGGTTCTTTCAGTAAGTACAGAAATGGTTTTTATTGTTTAAAACCCAAGCAATCGATGACTTTATGTGTCTAAACCGGTCGTCATTATTCCGGATGTGAAACCAATCATGCCTGACACACAGCATGTTGTTAAATTTTAATAACAGCAATTAATAATATTTGTGCCTAAAGGTTTTTAGTTGGGGAAGAATTATAAGCATTAATGGATCCAATCAGGTTAAGTTCCGTTTTGTTATTAAATTACTTTGATTAATTATCAAATGCATAAAAATATCAATGAGGTTGTTGAAAATTCGTTTTCATGTTTGAACTCCGCAGCCGAATCCTCAAACCATCACTTGGACGTTTCACATACATCCACTTGGTTTTTTTTTATTATTATATCTTATGAGTGGTTTTCATTTCATGTTTTTTCTCATCACAGAAACATAAAATTTGTTTTTTTATGATTTGGGGTTAGATATATAAATCATACAAACCTTGCTTGGAAAAACCTCATATATTTGTATGACATTAATCATATTTTCATTTTATGAACGATGTATTTAAATTTAAAATCGTAAGTAATTTCTTTTGCAACCAATAAAAATCTATCCATATTATATACCAACGATGATTTTGACCATTGTCATTCACACATCTTTTTCTAAAAAATATTATACATTGTAAAAGTATTATATTTTTTTATTATATGAAGAATATATTTTGTGGTTTAATTTAAGCGGAATGGTAAATGCATTTATCTATATTTAATCACAGATATTTAGACAAAAAAAAAACAAAAAATGATGACAAAAAAATTACGAGTTTAGATTTACCGCTGTGGTTAAGAAAGAATAAAAATAAATAACCTGTGTGGCTAGCTACAGTGTTATACTACACCTCAGCCATAAAAATTCGCAGGGTTACTATCTCGAGTTTACCCACAACCACAAGAACCCTAAAATGCTGATTTTCTGATGCTTTTCATTTACAAGCTGATGATCAAATCGATATTTACACTTCTAACAATTAAATGTCATCTCTTTCTCGCTATAATAATACAAACTTAAACAGACTACAAAGATAAAAGGTCCAGCTTCCGATTATCATCAGTTTACTGCCTTGAAATATTGCTTAGCTAAACAAAGTTATGGTTATCAAACCGATTCATAGTTCACATTAACCAATAACCAACACGTATGAATCCAAAATGATATTTATATTGAAATTACAGTATGTTGCAAAGGAAACTATAGAGTACCTCTGTTTTTTACGGGAATCAAACAAATGGAAATAACCGATTTATGAGTTTACAACAAAATTATAAACCAACTTTTGGGGAAAAAGAAACAAAAAGAGTTAGAAAAGATAAAGAAAAAGAAGATGCAAAAGGTACACAATACAATGCGAGAAAGAATCAAAGGAAGGGAGATACGACCCGTCAGCAATTCAAAACTTTGAAGTAGACCAAATCCAGTCTTGTTTGACTTTGACCGCTGACTTTTCAAACCTTTCTTCTATTAGTAGTAAACTCAAATCTATACGTGCAAACAACCCCGCACGTGCGTTCCCACCGCAATGTT